TGGTAGCCGTGCAGTCAAAGGCCGCATACAGTCCCCGGGCCCCCTCCCAGTACTCACTGTAGTCAAACACGCGCTCCAGGGGTACCCCTGCAGGGAGCCAGAGGCAGGGAGGGGTTGGAAATGTGCTAAACTCCCAGGTGCCCCTCCCAGGACCCCAGGACCAGCCCAGGTCCATTCAGAATGGAGTGATGGACAGCAAGGCCAGGCAAGAGCATGTGGAGTCTAGGACAGGTCAGACTACCGGGGCTGGGGGAGGCTATGGCTTTGAGGGGAACGGCCACGGGCTGTGCTGTTCTTACCTGTGTCCAGGGGAGTCCCTCGGGTACAGGCCACCAGAGCCCCCATACTGGGCTGTGAAGTCATCCCTGACATGGAATCGGACGCCACGTCCACCACATCAGCCCCAGCCTGGGCGCAGGCCAGCATGGCTGCCACACCTGCCCCTGACGTGTCGTGGGTGTGGATATGCAGCGGGAGGTCAGGGAAGCGGTCCCGGAGAGAGCCGACCAGCATGGTGCAGGCCGAGGGCTTCAGCAGTCCTGCCATGTCCTGGGGAAAGAGCAGGAAATGATGGTAAGAAGTGGGCACCATGTGTGCATGGTGGTGGTGGGGGTTGTTGGGAAACAGAGCAAGGAGGTAGGGGAGATGGGAAACTGGGGAGACTGCTGTAGGTACCTTAATGCACAGTATGTGGGTGCCAGCTCGCACCAGCTCTTCAGCCAAATCCATGTAATACTGCAGCGAGTACTTGGTGCGGCTGGGGTCAGCCACGTCACCAGTGTAAGAGATGGCGGCTTCTACCACACCACCGGCACTGCCCACTGCCTCCATGCCCAGCAACAGATTGGGCAGGTAGTTGAGGGAGTCAAAGACCCGGAAGACATCCATGCCATTCTCCTTGGCCACCTCACAGAACCTGAGTGCGTGGAAGAGCCCGGGGTTAGCCACATCCTGCTTTCCCTCCCCCCCTCCCATCTTTGGTTCCTGGCCCGGTGTGGGTCCTAGGGAATGAGCTGGGCCTGGCAGAGGGCATGGTCCCCACAGAATAGGGGTGGGCACCACACTGGACAAGGCCTCCAGGGCAGCGTGGCGCCCAGGTCAAAGGGATTAGCGGGGATTCTCTGCAAAGGAGTGGCAGGCGGAGGGAGAGAGCACTGAACAGCCCCAGCTCTACACCACCTGCCGGCTGGGCACCTCCCTGTGCCACGATCTAGAAGCCGGCCCAGGTCCCCGGCTACAGTTCTGCATGGCACACATTTCCAAACCGCAGGCCTTACTGGCACAGCTGCTGGGAACCTTGGTTCTGAGCCCGCTGTGGGGCGTGCAGGCCGTTGAGCCGTTGCTGTGTGGCCTGGCACGGGCTGGGCCATGCCAGGCCACCCCCCCCAGGCTCACTTGAAGACCACGTTGTCCGGGTAGTTGGTGTAGCCCACGGCGTTGGCCCCCCGCAGCAGCATCTGGAACGGGATGTTGGGGATGAGCTCCCGGAGCTCCTGCAGCCGCCGCCAAGGGCACTCGTACAGGAAGCGCATGGCAACATCGAACGTGGCTCCTGCAAAGGGACCAACAGCCCCAGGTCAGCCCATGTCCTGGGGACCCCCCACACCTTGCAGCTCTGCTGCTCCGGCCCCAATGCCAGCCCCTACCTCAGGGTCCCTCCTGTTCCCACCAAGACCCTCAGACTCTCCTTCGTGATCTCAGGGTCGTTCAGGCTCTGTCCTTCCTCTGACAGCCCCTCCCCAGTTCTCTGCTGTCACTAACTTGTCCCCACCGCTCTGACCTCAGCCTGGCGGGAGCGGGCACCATCACTGTCTGCTGCGCGCGCGCGCACACACACGCACACACACTGTGCAGTTCTCACTGGTTCCCTCAATGTCAGTGTTTCTAGCTTCTCTCGAGTGTCTCCAATGGCTTGACTCCTGTCAGGTTCTGTGCCATATTCCAGCCTACCTCCCCAGTTCTCTATGCTGAAGAGCTTGTTGAAGTTGTGGGCAACATAGGGGGAGATCTTCTTGAGGTCATGGGTTCGCACACGAGTGGCCAGCAGGGACTGGTGGGCATCCCTGAAGGTTGTGTCCATCAGCAGCAACCCCTGGTGGTTCCGCACGGCTCGAGCAAAGCCCTCGGGCCCCTCTCGCAGCAGGATATCTCTGAAACCGGCCGGGGGCGGGCCTAGGGCAGACCAGGCATTAGTACCCATCCTGCAGGTGGCATCCTGTCTCCCATAAATTGGCAGAATTGAATTCACTTACCTATGGGCACCACAGGGACAATGGGGTCGGTGGGGCTGGGGTCGGCCTTAACGGGGATTGGCGTGGTCGGGCCATTCACCATGACATGTCCTGTAGAGAGTGGACAATGGGTCAGGGCAGGTTGGGCAGTGAGTTGAGAGCAGGAGTGAGTAGGTGGGATTGGGGTGGAGAGATTCCTCCAGCTGGCCCCTGTCCTCTCCACAGCCAGGCCCTGCTGGGCCCAGGCAGTGAGGACATATTGAGGACCATGCAGACAGAAAAGGGGAGGGGGTGCCTGTAAGAGCCTGAGCAAGGAGGTTGGGCAGGAAGGCAAAGGAAAGGAGGACCAGGCTGAGGGCAGGAGGCCGTGAGCAAGGCCTCAGGGGAGGGGAGGGGAGCAGGGCAGGGCAGGGCAGTCTTGGGGCCGGACCGAGGTAGTACAGCAGCTTCTGGGCCCGGTTCTGTGCGGGCCGCAGCTGGAAGAGCTCCGGGTTCTCGTCAATGAACTGGGTGTCCACGGTGCCTCCCAGGAACTGCTGGTTGTTGAGCACATTCTGCAGGAAGGGGATGTTGGTCTGCAGGACAGAGGTGGGAGGGTGTCACCGTTTGGCATGGGCAGGGAAAGAAGCTGAAGGGGCCACCAAGGCCAGCTTCCCAGTTCCCCAGGATCCCATGCTCCCTGTGGAGTGGCATTTCTCCATCTCCTCACCCCACCCACCTTCCGCAAGGTCCCCTAAGCTGCAGGAGGCCGAGCCCACTTCTCCCTCCTTGTTCACCTCCCACAGCAGGCGGGAGCACTCTCCTGCCCTCCCAGTCAGGCTTCTTGAAAGAGGGTCCTCCCTTCCACACACACCACCTCCCAGTGACATCCACACTGAGGTCCCTTTGTGGTAAATCCAATGGGCAGTCAGCCCTTCTCTGCTAATGGCTCTATTGGACACACTCCTGCGTTTCCAAGACATCTTGCCCTCCTTCTCCCCAGTAGCCACTGGGGCTGCTTTCGCTCCTGCAGGATGGAGTCTTCAGGGCTGTCGCAGAGCCCCATATGGTTCCCTCTCCCCGGACTAACTGCTTAGCCTAGGGGCTGGGGAGCCCCCAGCTTCCAGCCTTTGACAGCCAAGCTTGGAGGGATCCGAATCCGGTCCAGCACCCTGGTCCTTTGTAATGGTCCCCCCAGTCAGGAAAGTCACCCCTTCCCTGGCATCTCCTAGTCCTCAGGCGACCTGGGTCCCCTGCCCCTCCCTCCTGCCAGCCTGCTTCCTAGGGGCTGAGAGGCGGGGGCTCAGAGGGGAAGGCGGGCGGTGGGCCGGCGAGGACCACTGACGCACAGCTTCCAACGGCGAGCCTCCGCCTGCCTGCTGGGACACCGAGCCAGCCGACCAATCGGGCCCGAGGCGGACACCGGTTGGCTCCCGAGCTTGCTGGGCAGGCGGGGAGCCTGGGAAGAGGGAGGGCGGGGAGGGGAGGGCAGGCAACGGGGCGCGGCGCCAGCGCGGAGACCAAGCCCTCTCGGCCCCACCCCGAAGCAGCCCGGCGGGGGCGTCGTCCCAGCCCCCCCTCCGGGCCCGGTGCGTGTTGGGGACCCTCCACGTGACTTGGTGATGCAGAACGGCTGTGACCTTCAGCGTGTATCTGTGAATGCGAGGGTCCCAGCAACAGCGCGGGTTTGCGCCCGGCCTGCCTGTGGGTGCGGGGACGTGGATGTGTGGGCATGTGTGGGTGTGCTGGGGACGGTGCCCAGCGGCATGTAACAAAGACTCCCCTCGCTGTCTCCGGGAGATGGTGAAGGGGCCCGCGAGCTGGCGCTTTGTCTGGCTGGCTGCGGAGTGACGGTTTGCGCAGCAGCAGCAGCGGCGGCGGCGACAGCGGCGGGCGCCCGTGCAGTGAGGATGCCGGGGCGCCAGGGTGTCCGGGGGCGCGCGCGCCTGTGCCGGGGTGAGTGCGCTGCGGCAGGACGGGAGCGCTGTGCGGAGGGCCGGAGCCGGCCTGGGCCTCGGGTGTGACCTGGAGCCACCCGTGGGCGCGTGTCCCCGTGACCTCGGGAGCCGGCCCAGGGTGGGTCCCTGTGCACCCCTCCCTGTCCGCCCTCCACGTGCGTGTCCGCGGCGCGCGCGTGCTCGCCAGCGCGCACTCGCCTGCTGGTCGCCACCGCCACGAGCATAGCCGGGCCGGGGAAAAGGTGCCGGAACGGATTGAGCCGGGCAGGGCCCGAGCGCCATGGGCCGGAGCGCGATCGGTGGGCGGCTGGTCAGCCCCAGGCCTTACCCCCGCGGGAGAGCTGCCTGGAGTCGGGGGCCGGCCGGACCTGCAGGGAGGCCGGCCTCTGCCCCCTGAACTACAGATACCAGGTGAGCACCCCTCCTCGGGACACAGTGTGGGGCTAGCTTGGGAGGGAAGTGCACCTGAGAGGGGTTTTGGGGGTGGCTTCCCTGGTGGGGGAGGAGATGGCGGGGTAGTGGGGGTGCTGACGATTTCAGGGACGCCAAGGAAAGGAAGTTCAGGATCCTCCCTGCTCTCAAGCCCACCTCTGCTCCCTGCCTCAGGCCTCACCTTGCCCCAGAGCCTGTGCTCCCCTTCATGGCCTGGGAGATGCGGCCTGTGCTCTAGGAGGCTGGCCCTGCAGGCCCCAGCCCTCCCTCATCCCGAGGGGCCCCCTGGGCCTTTGACTGACTTCCCCTCCTACCGCCCCCGCCCAGGCCAGGCTCTGGAAGCTGGCTCCTGGGACTGGGCCTAGGCACCTGCACCAGCCCCACCTGTGCCTGGGCCTTGGCCCTTCCCTACAGGGCACTCACCATGGCCCCACCGCTCCTGCTGCTGCTGCTGGCCAGCGGAGCGGCCGCCTGCCCACTGCCCTGCGTCTGCCAGAACCTGTCCGAGTCGCTCAGCACCCTTTGTGCCCACCGAGGCCTGCTGTTCGTGCCGCCCAATGTGGACCGGCGGACGGTGGAGCTGCGGCTGGCCGATAACTTCATCCAGGCTCTGGGGCCACCAGACTTCCGGAACATGACGGGGCTGGTGGACCTGACGCTGTCCCGCAACGCCATCACCCGCATCGGGGCCCGCGCCTTTGGGGACCTGGAGAGCCTGCGCTCCCTGCACCTGGATGGCAACCGGCTGGTGGAGCTGGGCACCGGCAGCCTTCGGGGCCCCGTCAACCTGCAGCACCTCATCCTGAGCGGCAACCAGCTGGGCCGCATCGCACCGGGGGCTTTCGATGACTTCCTGGACAGCCTGGAGGACCTGGACCTGTCCTACAACAACCTGCGGCAGGTGCCCTGGGCCGGCATCGGCGCCATGCCTGCCCTGCACACCCTCAACCTGGACCACAACGTCATAGACGTGCTGCCTCCGGGCGCCTTTGCCCAGCTGAGCCAGCTCTCCCGCCTTGACCTCACCTCCAACCGCCTGGCCACGTTGGCACCCGACCCCCTCTTCTCCCGGGGGCGCGACTCTGAGGCCTCGCCGGCCCCCCTGGTGCTGAGCTTCAGCGGGAACCCCCTGCACTGCAACTGTGAGCTGCTGTGGCTGCGGCGGCTGGCCCGGCCGGACGACCTGGAGACGTGCGCCTCCCCGCCCGGCCTGGCCGGCCGCTACTTCTGGGCAGTGCCCGAGGGCGAGTTCTCCTGCGAGCCGCCCCTCATCGCCCGCCACACGCAGCGCCTCTGGGTGCTGGAGGGCCAGCGGGCCACGCTGCGGTGCCGGGCCCTCGGAGACCCTGCGCCCACCATGCACTGGGTTGGCCCTGACGACCGGCTGGTCGGCAACTCCTCCCGAGCCCGGGCTTTCCCCAACGGGACCCTGGAGATTGGGGTGACGGGCTCTGGGGACGCCGGGGACTACACCTGCATTGCGACCAACCCTGCCGGTGAAGCCACGGCCCACGTGGAGCTCCGGGTGCTGGCCTTGCCTCACGGTGGGAACGGCAGTGCCGAGGGGGGCCGCCCCGGGCCCTCGGACATTGCTGCCTCAGCCCGCACTGCTGCGGAGGGCGAGGGGGCACTAGAGACCGAGCCGACTGTGCAGGTGACAGAGGTGACCGCCACCTCAGGGCTGGTGAGCTGGGGGCCTGGGCGGCCAGCAGACCCCGTGTGGATGTTCCAAATCCAGTACAACAGCAGCGAGGACGAGACCCTCATCTACCGGTGAGAACGCGCTGCGGGCGCCTCGGCCCCACCCTCCAGGCTGGGCCACTCTCGGCTCCTCCTCTGTCCTTGGGGCTTCCACACCCCCCTCCTCAGCGTCTGAGCTGCCTGGGGTCTTGGGCTGGGGGAGGGGAGGGAAGGGGAGTGTCAGGGACCAGGAACAAGTGGGAGGTGGGCAGTGCCCCCCAGATCTCTACCAAGTGGCTGAGCCACAGGAGGCCTCCATGCTGGTGTGTGATTGAGCATGTGGCCAGCCCCACACACGTTATCGCTGGCGATGTGATGTGATTCTCCGCCCTCCTTAGCTGTGCTGGGCCTGTGTGTCAGGGCACACACTATCTGTCCCCCTGCACTGTCTCCAGTGCCACACACACGCATGCATACACACACACACACACACACACACACACACACACACGCATACACATGCGTTCCTGTCTTGGTTTCTCCATCTTCTTGAGTGAACACACAGGCCTTTGTGGTCCCAGGAGAAGAGGGTGCTCAGACCTGGGACCTGGGGCACCAGGGTGGTGGGGGATGGGCGGTGAAGGGGGCTTCGAGGCCATGTGGGGTGGGGCTGGGCCTGGACCCCAAGGCCCTGGCTCTGACCTCCAGACCTTGCCTGCAGGATCGTCCCAGCCTCCAGCCACCACTTCCTGCTGAAGCACCTGATCCCTGGTGCCGACTATGACCTCTGCCTGCTGGCCCTGTCACCTGCCGCTGGGCCTTCTGACCTCACGTCCACCAAGCTGCTGGGCTGCGCCCACTTCTCAACGCTGCCGGCCATGCCCCTGTGCCACGCCCCACAGGCCCACATGCTGGGCGGGACCCTGACTGTGGCCGTGGGCGGTGTCCTCGTGGCTGCCTTACTGGTCTTCACTGTGGCCTTGCTGGTTCGGGGCCGGGGGGCTGGGAATGGCCGCCTCCCCCTGAAGCTCAGCCACGTCCAATCCCAGACCAACGGAGGCCCCAGCCCCACACCCAAGACCCACCCGCCGCGGAGCCCCCCGCCTCGCCCCCAGCGCAGCTGCTCCCTGGACCTGGGAGACACGGGCGGGTGCTACGGTTATGCCAGGCGCCTAGGTGGGGCCTGGGCCCGGCGGAGCCACTCTGTGCACGGAGGACTGCTGGGGGCAGGGTGCCAGGGCATGGGGGGCAGTGCAGAACGGCTGGAAGAGAGCGTGGTGTGATGGGAAGGGCGTCAGCCGGGATGGAGGGTGGGGGCAGGCAGCCACCTGGCCTGGGTGGGTCAGCACTGCCTGGGAATTCCTCCCACCTTCACCCTCGGTACCTCAGGCCCCTGGTGCTTGGCAGGACGGGGGCCCTTTCCCCGGTCCTGGCCTCTGACAGGCGTAGGGGACAGGCCTCTGACAGGTGCTCACAGCCACTGAGGCGGGGCCGCAGCCACCAGGTGGGAGTCTTGTTTTTCTTTATAATAAAATGGTTGGGGACACCTCAGTGCTAGTCTCGGTGTCATCCTGAGGGAGAGGGGCCGTGTGGGCCAGTGGAGGCACAGACAGGACAGGGCTGGGCCTGCCGTCCACAGAGGGGGCCCAAGCAGATGTAGGTGCCTCAGCCTCCTCTTCACCCAGGTCTGACCCCTGGTGACCTGCGGACTGGACGCTGAGCCCTCTGCTGCCGCTGTGAGCATGTGGACAGGCTGTGCCAGCCTCACGGTGGCAGGGATGTTACAGGGCAGTGGCCACAGGAGCAGGAGGGAGATGGCACAGCCCTGCAGGGCAGAGCGACTTGGGCTCGCACATCGCCCCCAGCTCAGTGAGGAAGTCCCTGCGGCTGTGAGTCTTACTCCATCGCCCAGGGTGTGCAGCGCGCCATCCCAAAGGGACTGGGGGCGGGGGGGACCCTCACTGCCCACACCCTCCGGAAGGTTCCCGCCAGTGCGCAGGCCTGAGCCCGCCCCCCGCTGCTCCACTGACGCCCAGGCTCTGCTGGGCCGGGCTGGAGAGCCTGCGTCCCACCTCCCCGGACGCGGTGCCCAGGCCACGCCCTGCTCTAGCCCCAGCTGAAGAGCCGCAGGCCCCGTGGCTGCCTGGGTTCGCTTCCTCCGGCCGGCACAGCCCTGCCTGCCACCCGAACAACGGCTGCTCCCGGGTGTTGGTGGGCGGAACGGTCCGAGCACAGACACCGCAGGCGCCTCGCTGCTCCGCCCGCGCCAGGCCGCCCGAGGCTTCAAGCAGGTGCAGGTGCCCGGCCACCACGGAGGGCGGCTGGTCCCCAGGACCCGCAGTGGTGCCAGGGGTACGTGTCCGTTTTGTGTGAGGCCATGGCGTTCCTGACGAGCAGCCTGCTCAGAGCTGGCACAGTAAGGTGTGTGCACACACGTGTGCAGGCCAAGCTCACGCAGTGGGTTTGCGCAGAGGTGACGCACATGCCTGCCCTCCCAGCCCAGAACACATACCTGGGTGGATCCCCAGAGCGGCCCTGGTTTAAGTAAACAAACAAGGTTCTCAGCAGAGAGAGGGAGCTGAGCCTGCCAGGCCGGGCGGAGACCGGGGCGGCGGAGGCCGCGGCGTGGCAGGAGCCAGAGCCAGGTCTGGTGCACACCAGTGGACCCTGGTGCCCTGGGTCCTGCACTGGCCTCCGCCTTCTCCCGCGGCCCCGCTCCTCCGGCTCCACCTCCAGGGCTGTCGGGTCCTGGGGCTCCAGGCCGAAGGGCAGGTGGTCCTGTGGCTCAGGCAGGTGAGGGGTGGGGCAGCAGGGTCACCCACTGGGGTCACGGTGAGCACTGGCCACCTGGAGCCAGAGGCCGCTCAGGACATCATGCCTGGAAAACCAGGCTCCCTCGGTGAGAAAGTGAGCACCTGATGTCACCAAACGGCCCTGGACCAGGAACCCTGAGGCACCTCACGGAGAAGTGCAGAGCCCCCTCTCCCCCTCTAACCCTCCTCTCTCCCGCTACCCCTCTTCCCCACTACCACCCCTCCCCACTACCCCCCTCCCCACCGCCACCCCCTCTCCCCCTCAAACCCCCTCTCCCCCGCTACCCCACCCCCCTACCACCCACCCCCTCTCCCTGCTACCCCCTCCCCACCGCACCCCCCTCTCCCCCTCAAACCCCCTCTCCCCCACTACCCCCGCTATCCCCCCTCCCCCCCCCCTCCCCCGCTAACCCCCCTCCCCCCGCTACCCCCCCTCTCCTCCGCTACCCCCCTCCCCACCGCTAAACCCCTCCCCTAACCCCCTCTCCCCTCAAACCCCCCTCTCCCCCGCTACCCCCCCTCCCCCCCGCTGCCCCCCCTCCCCGCTACCCACCCCTCCCCCGCTACCCCCTCTCCCCCTCTACCCCCCCTCTCCCCGCTATACCCCCCTCTCCCCACTACCCCCCACCCCACCGCCACCCCCTCTCCCCCTCAAACCCCCCTCTCCCCGCTACCCCTCTTCCCCCGCTGCCCCCTCTCCCCGCTACCCCCCTCCCCACCGCTAAACCCTCTCCCCCGTCTAACCCTCCTCTCCCCCGCTACCCCTCTTCCCCTGCTACCCCCTCTCCCCACTACCCCCCTCCCCACCGCCACCCCCCTCCCCCTCTAACCCCCCTCTCCCCCACTACCCCCGCTATACCCCCCTCTCCCCGCTACCCCCCTCCTCCCGCTACCCCCTCCCCTCCGCTACCCCTCCCCTCCGCTACCCCCCCTCCCTCCGCTACCCCCTCTCCCCCCGTTACTCCCCTCTCCCCCCGCTACCCCCTCTCCCCTGCCCAGCACCCGGGGAACCTGCTCCCTGTCAGTTGAGGAGACGCCAGGCACAGACTCGCTCCCTCCTTCCCTCCACGTGCTTTCCCCAGAGGTGAGAGAAGTGATGCAGGGCTACCCCCGCCCCCACCACCACAGGTGGGGCTGGGAGCAGCTGAGGAGACACAAGGGGCGGCCCAGCCAGCACCTCAGCTCCCCTGCTCCCCTGGGCGCCCTCTGCGGTGAGTGGCCAGCCTTTGGGAGCCCTGGAGGAGGGTGGCGGAGCTGTCTGGGACGCCCTCACAGGGAGACCAGGCGCTTAGATCTGCTCACAGAGCCCTGTCCTGCCGTCTCCGGGGCAGGGCCTGACCTCAAGGACAGACAGCACTTGCCTGTGATTTCAGCTCTAGCTGCAGACTCCGGGAAGGACCCCGACAAGAGGCCGGCGGGCATTTCGGCCCCTGCCCGGCCACCACAGAGGGCCGCCCTGCCCTGTGCTCGCACCTCCGCTGCAGCCTCCCTGCTTGGTGTCCCTGAGGCACCACAGCTGCTCAGAACAGGCTCCGAGCTCCCCGCCCAAACGGGGCCCAGGCTTCCAGAGGGAGGCCAGGTGACACACACACCAGGTGACCTCCCCAGGAGGGGCAGGAGGCTGACTCCCGGGGAGCGGAGGGAGGCAGAGCAGTGCCCGAGCGCCCCCGGAGCGTCCACATGCAGTGACAGGAGGGGCGGGACGCCGGGAACGAGCGGAGGCAGACAGGCCTGCAGCCTCACCTTCACGCCTCGGACTCGGAACTCGGCCAGGGCTCTGCTCATCTTGGTGGCGGCCGTGAGGTGGTCTTTGCCGTGGGCGATGACCTTGACCAGCAGGGAGTCGTAGTGGGGGGAGATGACGGCTCCCTGGAAGGCGGAAGCGTTATCCAGGCGGATGCCCATGCCCTCTCCGCTCCGGAACACCTGCGGGGAGAAGAGCGGGTCAGGAGCCCGAGTGAAGGTGCGGCCGCGGCCCCAGCGGGACAAGATGCCAAGGGACCCCAGCTCTGGGTGCCCAGGTCTGCTTCATTCTGCCGGTGCCCACAGAGGGGAGCAGCGGGAGCGCCCTGGGCCAGAGAGGCCGCCCGGAGACACCCCCAGGGGCTCCAGTCTAATGGACAGGGACCCAGGGTGGGGGACAGGTTTGGGGTGTCTGGAGTAACTGCAGCACACACATGCAGTCCATGATGGGATGGGGGCACCCTGTGAGGTACATGTAAGGAAAAGGAGTGGCAGGAGGAGCCCCACTGCACCCTGCTTCCACTTCTAAGGGACAGGGCCTGTGTTTGATAAAAAGGAACTTAATAAAATATTTAAAGGTGAACACTCAGCTGTGAGCAGGAACTGAGAGCTAAAAATATTCTGTGGTAAACCAGGCTCGGAGGAGCCAGGCCTGGGAAGGGAGGTGGAGGGAGGCAGTGTCCAGGCAGGGCTGCCCTTTCCGGGCCGAGGGCAGAGCAGTCTGGCCAGCGCTCTGGCCCGAGCCTACCAGCTCTATGCGACTTTCAGAACCCAGACCGCGCCCTGCCCTGACCCGGGTGTCAGAATCCCAGCATCTCAGACTCCCCTCGCCCTCCCCGCTGCACCGGAGCAGTCTGAGCTCCTGCTCTGGGGAGGGGAGGCCGGTGGGGAGCCTTAGAGCACCAGGACCCAGAGGAATTCCTAGCCAGCATGGGCGGGGACAGGGGACAGGCTCTGAGCAGGCCAGAGGCTCCTGCCCTCAGCCAGGGAAGGGGGGCCAGAGGGCAGGGGTGAGAGACGGCTTTCTCTGTGAGGAGAAAGAGAAGGCGCAGGAAGCGTCCCTGGAGGAGGTGCAGGTCCAGATTCGGGGTGCCTGCCCGGGCCCTCCTCAACTTCCCACGAAGAGTCTGCCTCTCAGCCTCCTCCCTGCCCTCTGCCACTTCCCCAGAGCTCTCATTTATCCTCCGTGGTCCCCTTGCTCAGCCTGGCCCCAATCCTTCACTGCACCCCGAGTGCTGTCTTGCCAGCCACACCCCTCTGAAGGCAGGCCAGTGGCCAGCAGCACCGCTGTCTTCGGGCTCTTAGCACAGAGGCCAGGACCTGCGCCTCCTTTGGGGGCCCTGCCTTCGGCTCCACCAGCTGCTCTCTCCGTTCTGACGACCCGCCCATTGGCTTACCAGCCTGTGCGCATGGCAGCCCTCCCCAGGGTGCTCCTGCCTGCCTCTCGGACCAGCCTGGCTCCCATGTACTCAGCCAGACTCGGACCAGCCCTCACTCGGTGCCCTCAGAGCAGTCTGGCCACAGTCCTTACACAGGCAGAGACCCGCGGCCGCTCGGTCGGAACGTCAAGAGCGTGGACGCTACCTCGATGCGGCCGGTATCCGGCTGGAAGCTGCGGGCCGGGTCCTCGGTGGTGACGCGGCACTGGATGGCACAGCCGTTGATGCGGATGTTCTCCTGCCGCAGACCCAGGTCGGGCAGACTCCGGCCCTCGGTCACGTGGATCTGGGCGTGGACCAGGTCCACACTGCAGGGAAGGGACACAGCGCCGAGAGGGGAGCATGAGGCAGGGGCTGGACGAGGCGGCTTGCACACACAGACGCAGCCCGCCCAGCTCCTCCAGACACTTCACCAGCCTGGGCAGCTGCTCCTCTGTCTGCCCAGCGCCCTGCCCTGTGCCCGTTACTCTGACATCCTCAATGAGGGGAACGGGCAGCTGGAGGGGCAGCTGAACTCTGCATCCACCTGTGCTTGCACCCCCACACTCCCCTCCTT